GCGTCAAATGAATTTTGCTTCATTGTTATAGATGACGAGATAGTTGATAGATTCTAGACCTTTTTACCATTCTTGATCCAAATATTTCCAAATTCAATAAAATCATATTGGTGATTTTTTCACGGATTATTTTTATGACCCCCTCCATTTATAACAAAACTATAAAAAGACCCACCCCTTTGAAGCATGTCAAAATTGGCTGACCCACCCCCAAATTCCTCCGGCCCACCCCCCCCAGCTAAAAAATGAATGCTCCCTTATTCATCTGTAATGATATATTATTAATATTGTACTGAATTACTGTATTTTGATATCAGTATATTGATATCAGTATAATTATTGTTTCCACACTACCGTCTCCATATCTATCAGAGCAAGTTTGTATATAAAGGAGCCCAATTTTATAAGCCTTTTGGTTTCTTTTGGGCTACCTTGCCTTCTCCTATTTATTTATTAAATTTGTAAATAGTTAATCTGTGGCAGGATAAATTGATTTGATTTGACTTATTCTGATTAGTAGCTTGCATCCGAGCAAAATACCCCATGCAGCGCCCTTGGCAATGCCTGGTTCTGCAAGGATTCTCACCTGTTCTAGTTGGAGAACATTTAAACGCTCTTATGCAAGGGAGTTGTGCCATAAAATAAGGTTAAAATACCAGTTCAGATGAATACCGCGGTAGCCGACATGCGTTTGATTCTAAAGAATGCATCTTGTTTTACAATTGGCCGTATGATTTTATATCCGCGATTTACATACGGGACAAAAATCTGCCTCCCTCATAGGAAGCTTTGACCACAGAATAAAGATCAGTAACAGAAGGGCAACTCAGCGGTGCAACGTGTCCTCGTTTTTTTTATGCAAAAATATGCAGTTTACTGGCCAGAAGGCGGAGCAGCCAGCCAGTACAGCGTGTTTATTGGCCAGAAAATGTCATTGACTGGCTAGGAAAATGGCGGCCAACATGCGTAATGCGACATGCGCGAGGACAAAAACTTCAAACGGCTTGCGACGTAAGTTGCCCTTCTATGTGGATCTTTATTCTATGCTTTGACTCAAAATGGGGGTATGCTAATCATCCTTACTTGCAGCCAAATTGTGAAGGACACAGCTCAACCTGATCGCGTCGAAGACTTTCTCATGGGTAAGGGCGCCTTTGGCGGTTACCTGCTTATGGCTAATGACAGCGGTAAGTAATGTTTAAATTGCTTCAAAAACAATCGATCTGATAAGTTCATCGGCGAAGTAATTTTCAAAAAATACATTGTGTAAGTTGAGAAAATCAAAATCAGAAAGAAAATCAACAGTTTTACCTCATCAAGCAATGCCGTAACTCCCCGTCCAAACTGGCCTGTCAGTACGGCCAATGTTCCAATCTCAACCACTCCTCCACTCAGTGAGTCATCTCTTGGGGCTGTAGACCGTGAAATCTTTGGAAGAACATTGGGAAAGATTTGATGGTTAAATCAAACATCAATGATTGGATTGCTTGTCAACCAAATGGTGGACGTCACCGACAGAAAAATGGATCACTCAATGAGTTGTCAGAATATAAAAAACGTAGCAACAGCTTGTAGTGGTGTGGCACCAAATAGAGTTTATTGGCACCGTCATGGACCATACTTGAGTGCTTCCTCATTGTATTATTACTTTGATGGATATACAGGTGATAACTGGCCAACACAGGATCCTTGTGGCAAAAATAGTGGAAATCACAAGAAAGGAGTCAGTAACCCTGGTGGACAAATCTATTTTCGCTAAGGTCGAAATCCTTGATCATGATTTCTAAGACAATATTATTATTACTGCATAAGCGTTTGTATTATCACATCATAAAAAAAAAAACATTTAGCATTGGTAGCAGTTTTTGAAGTATATTCAGTAATTCAAGCACACCAGGCAAGTTTAATTTTCCTAACCAATCTCGTAACATTCTCGTACCCAGAGCCCTTCTTACGCGCGGTGCGACGAGGGGCTCTGGCCAAATCCATATTCCGAACTGGCATCTGATTGGCTAGTTCTAACACCGGATATTGTTTTCTTACCATGTTTATATGGTATCCGGTTATGGATTTGGCCAGAGCCCCTCGTCGTACCGCGCGTAAGAAGGGGTCTGGGTACGAGAATGATCTCGTAAGTATTTCATCTTGCTCCAAAATAGATATTATCAAGATTGCCGGCTAGAATAATGCGATCTATACCGATAATGGTTGTGGGAAGTGGGAACAAGTCATATCTGATATTTTCCCATCCTGATTCCCAGGGCTTCTCGGCTGCCTGACGTGCAACAACAGGCAGCCGAGAATCCCTGGGAACGAGGATGATATTTTTCTGGGTGGAAAATCGTATAATGCCGCGTATTCATGCAAAAGGCTGGTCTTCTATCAAGAGGAACTACGCACACAAGTTCGTCTGTCTTGATGGACTATCCGTTCAAATAAAGTGTGCAGTGTTTATACACAAAGTCTGTCCTGAACTCCAGATGGATCATTGTTGTCTAATACAAATGAGGCATGCACTTCCATTATCAATAATTATTCACACAAAATTAAATCGTCCCTCAATATTGACAGCTCCGCTGGTATAGTAATCGGTTACTTTTTGCGGTGGCGGCGGAACAGTTTTTTCACTTTTTTTTTGGGAGGGGGGGGGGGGCAGGGGAAAATTTACATAAATTGTCCAACATATAAAATTTTTTCCGTACCTAACATATTTCCTACTTCATATTTTTAATACATATGCCGGTTTTCTTTGATCTTCCCTCAGGTTTTCTTTGATCTTCCCTTTCGGGGGGTGACTACTTTTGGGGAGCTATAGCCCCCTAGCCGCCTCCCGTTTTCGCCACTACTGACTTGTTGAAGCATTCGGTAGGGGAAAATCAAGTTAATTCTTCATACATATGTGATTAATAAAACAGTATTAACAATATTAACAGGAACAAAACTATTATGAAGTAGAGACAGCAAACGTTTGACTACGAAATTCGTTTACTGTGCATGTACTGAGAACAATAGGGTAGGTCCGTATGTAAAAAAAACAATGATGGGTATCAGGGGCGTAGGAACCGGGAGGGGGGGGGCAGGCCCCCAAGTTTTCAAAAGTGTCCTGTGTCCTTTTTCTGGTGGCCAAGTCACAAGTGTCCTTTGCCTTCGTGAAAAGTGTTGTTCAGATTGCCTTGCCTCAATGGCCTTTGATTAATGCCAACATTTCCGCGAAAAAAATTTTAGGTACCTTTTTCATTCTAAAAGTGCCCCTCGAAACCGCCCCCCCCCCGCCCATGATCGCTGTTTGATATTTGTGGATCTTCCATGAAGTACTTACGACATTAATCTGCTGACCCCAAACCCTGGAAACGTGGTTTTCATCAGTATTAAATGAAGTATTGTGTAAATAGGGCACAGAAAAGGTCAAGGGATCATTTATTTTAGGAATTTTATTGATTTATATCAATACAGAATAAAGTTTATAACGCAACATTATTGCTGGTTGATACAACTTGAAATGTAAATGGGAAATGTTGAATTTACAAGTCACCTTGAGAAAGATCAACTGGATAGTTTATCGTCAGAAAAGTTGGATTTGAGCAGACGTTTGACGTCTGACCAGCTTGAGCAGGTTCGAAGCATGGTTAATATATTTAACTTAATATAATATTTTAAATTAATAATAATTGTATATGTTATGTATAAAGAACGTTTTTGATTGGTTGAAAACTTGAAATGCGTACTCAGTAACTCGATTGAGCACGGCACAAAGCACGCGAAACTCTTGCCTCTTTTTTGGGAAATATTTCTTTGAGAGTTTTCCTAAAAAAAACTGAGATGAGAGATCAACCACAGAACGAGGCCTGGGTATTTGTCGTCAGGGCCGTACTGGGGGAGGGTGTAACACCCCCCTATAATTGCTCATGAGGTAGATTTTCAGATAAATTCAGGTAATTCTCAGGGCATAAAAAGTGAACTCTATGCTCAGAATCAGAGTTACCAATCGAACAACTAATGAGGTTGATACACTTTGTGGCGGGGTAGGTATTTTTCGAGTTAAGCCCTTTTTGAGTTAAGCCCTTCTTGAGTTAAGCCCTGCCATGCTCTTTTTCGCTGGGGGCTTAACTCGATGAACATAAGGTTGTTTCAGCACTTTGAGTTAAACCACAGGCCTTAACTCGTAGTCAAATGTATTCATTTGGCAAATCATGTCAACCATAATATGTCACGTACCATGGCTTTAAACCTGATAAAATACTCCTAATTAGTATTCTACATATAAAGAATAAAAATAAGGCAGTATCTATTGTAGTTGTGTTCTCATTAGTATTCTTTATAATTTATATAAAGAATATTAATAAGGCTGTATATCTATTGAATTTGTAGTCGTGTTTGAAGCCATTTCTTACGATTTAGGATGGCAGCGCGACGGCAACAGCTACCAATACATTAATCATTGAAAGGAATTGAATAAGTACAATGCATGAATAATTTAGACTTTTTCCTCGCTCTGTTTACAATGCCAAATCACAGATTTTTACATTTTGATACACTGCATTTCAAGCCACAACAAGTACAACTTCAAACCAGTGATGTTTTCCAGGGGGAACGCTTGGGAACGGCGTCTCCCCACCTTTTTTACCACAGGAACGGCACCCCCTGCCAAAATCAAACATGGGGGAACGCCTTTTCCCCTGGCAGGGATTAAATATGAGTGAAGTTCAGTGAATGCCATTCGACACTGTCCAAATAATTTTGGGTATTAATCACTTGTTCTATATAGTATTTTTACGTGTTATTTTTGGCAATAATTGCTCAACATCCTATGTGGAAACAATTCAGAATGTTATTTTGTCACTATTTTAATCTCCCTGAAATTTGATAGCTTGCATGCAGAAAATTCTAGCAGGCTAGCACAAAAATACTAGAGTCTTAAATAATTATCAAATACATATTCATTATCAGGGCCGCCGAGAGGTTGGCGGGGGCCCGGGGCAAATTTTTTTGGGGGGCCCCCTATCCAAAAAAATTTTCTGGAAAAATTTTTTTTACGGAGAACAACCTCCCCCCCCTCCTGCCAAAAAAGTTTTGGTCAGTGTATCATTTTAGGGGTAGAAAAATTTTTTTCCGTAGTAAAAAATTTTTCTGGACAAGTAAGTTGCAATTGCTTTCCAGGGACTTTATCTCATTTTTTTATGCCAAATTTCGATACTTAGCCCAAGAAAACAGATATCTTGTCCTTTGCGTGGAAATATTTAACACACAAAAAAGACTGGGGCCCAACAAAAATTTTTCAGGGGCCCCCAGCACCTCGGGGCAATTTGCCCCCCCCCCCTGCGCCCCCCTTCTCGGCAGCCCTGTTCATTATATTGTTTGTTTAACTAGAGAGTTGTTCAACTAATGTGACATATTTTGACTAGCATGTCTATTAGACTAAACCCCCGCTTGTTTAATTTCATGGCCATTGGCCTCCCCCAATTGAGTGGCCACGCCCATTTGATTTTCAAGAGCGTCCCCCCACTTCTAAAATTAGCAAAATATCACTGCTTCAAACTGCATTCAGCCAAACACCTCCCAACCATAAAACTCATGTCTTCAACTTCTAAGACTGTATTAAATTCATACGATTGATAATATACGACGAATTATCTTTACTACCATTTATTTGAAGGAGTTTGTTTGGCCGTCGTCGTTGCGTTGCCGTCCTAAAATCGTAAGGTCTCTAATAAACTCGCAGGTCATGTTTTATTAGGTCTAAAGCTTTAAACCTAATAAAACATTCTTGCTTGTTTATTAAACAGTATGTCAAGTAACGATTTATGTATTAAACAAGTGACGCGTGTATACTCGCAAAAATGCTGGCAAATAAAGAGGGAGAATGTAAAATTTCAGCAATTTGAAAATATATATTTTACTATGTAAGACCTCTGTTGCTTTCCGTACAGTTTTATAGAGAAAATAACAGCTGATTAAGGGCGACAATTACGGCTTTAAAAAATAAATAATATCTAGCAGCACTTGCAGAATGCAAATCGTAGGCATTACCTTTCTAACTGACTTACTTGGCAACAACAAGATCTAGGACTAGAATATTATGTAAATTCCTTTTATCGTTTTCATCTTGCCAAGAACCCGTCAGGGAAAGAACAAACAGGAAGAACAGTAATATTGGCATATTATAAATGGATAACAGATACAAATATTTCCACTAATTACCAACTGCAACTAATAACAATTAACAACGGTACTATTTATGTACTATTTGGATATTCTCAGAATGATGAAGAATGAAGTTCTAGCTAGTAAAACCATTTTCTAACAAAACAATTCAGTATGATGTCACGCTCTATTCTTATTGACTAGTATTCAAGTCCCCTACTTTGGAGAAGAGATATATCTTTAGGGAAGACTCGCATATGTATTTTGTCCACGAGAAACGTCATATGGACGTTTCTCTGGAGACCCCTTCACCCCTATCGATACATGTATTTTGTTCTTATACAGTAGTACACATAAGATAATTTTCTACTATTTTTTGCGGTCGGCTATTGGCGATGCTTCCACCAACATTTACGGATCCAATTTCAAGTTTCGAAAGTTGTTGAGGTGTACCGATTACAAGAAATTCTGTTTTCGTATCTTTAAACATTAGTTTGTGAGATACCAGCCAAGCACGGACATCAGAGATACAATCTTCCAGTGCAGACAGAGTACTCTTTTGATTAGCGTCGCAGTCCGGGCGAAAGGAAACGTAAAGTTGTGTATCATCAGCATAACCATGAGATGAAGGCAAATGTCTGTCTATAGTATAATGTCATGTAATTGGGATACGTAAAGTAAAAAAGTATAGGGCCAAGACAGCTCCCTTGAGGAACCCCATACTTGACATCGCAGACTTCAGAAAAATTGTTATCAAGGTCAACTCTCTGCTTTCTGTTAGAGAGAAATGACTTTATCCATTCGAGAGCTTTGTCCGTCACTCCAAATTGATACTCCAGTACGTCAATAATAGTTTTATGATCAATTATGTCAAACGCCGAGCTTAAATCCAATAGCACAAGGAAACAAACTTCTTGCCTATCCATACTCAGAAGAATATCATTTTGCACCTTTAAAAGAGCTGTCTCAGTCGAGTGATACTTCCTGAAGCCAGATTGGCAGATTGGAAGTGGTGCATTTTTTCACAATGGCGCAGCAATTGGTTAGCAACAGACCTTTCAGTGGTCTTTGAGAGAGAAATAACAAATTGGACACTGGCCTAAAGTTCTCAAATAATGGCTCCATACTAAGCTTTTTCAAAATTGGGTTCAGTAGAGCAATTTTCCAGTGATCCGGGACTCGACCCTCTTGCAAAGAGAAATTTACAATTTTAGTAATAGAGGGTACAAGTTCAAGAGAACAGAGTTTGACAAGCCATGGTGGAATCGGATCAAATTTGCAACTGGCACTGGACAATTGCATAATAACATCATGCATATCCTGGAAAGAAAGAGACTCAAAAGATTCCAGTTTAACTTCGGGATTCCGGTATTCTACCAACGGGGGCTCAACAACGATACGATCCACATTTTCTCTAATCAATTCAATTTTGCGAAAAAAATTCATTGAATGTGTTAGCAAGTTGACCAAGATCGTTATGTGGAGGTAAAGGATCTTCCTGAGGTGCAGCACAAAGGGAATTCACAATTCTGTAAAGTTTCTTTGGATCATGAGAGTTATCATTAATGAGGGTAGTATAATAATCAGTTCGAGCTTTATTCAATAAGTGACAATACCTGTTACATATCTTTCGATAGGCAATCCAGTCCAGTTCTAGTTTTGTTTTCCTCATCTTTCTCTCTAGACTCCTATACGCTTTACTTTCAATTGTCTTAGCTCAGCAGTGTACCAAGGAGTTGATCGCTTAACTTTCAGCATCTTTCTTCTGACAGGGGCGTGGTTGTTCAAAATACGTGAAAGTTCATTATCATAACACTGCGTCAGTTCATCAAGATTTACCATGTTTTCACAAAGATAATTCACACAATTTAGATCGGCCTTAAAGGTTAATCTTTTTCATTTCACGATAAGAGATTTCCTTTTTGGGGTGCATCGGACGGCGAATCGATAGTTTACATTCAACAAAACAGTGATCAGATAGATATAATGTGCTCTCAATTGAGAGAATGTTGATGTCAGTTGTAGATCGGGTAATCAATAGATCCAGTATGTGGTTCGAAGAATGAGTTGGAGTACTAACATGCTGTTTAAGGCCAAATGTTACAAGCATTTCATTAAACTTCATTGTGTTTGTGTTAGCTGTATCATCCAAGTGAAAATTGAAATCCCCAGAGATCAATAATATTTCTGGGCACAAAACAATATCCTCCTCCAAATAGTTTGAGAATTCATAAAAAAATTTCCAGGTAAAATTGGGTGAGCCACGGAGTACGGTGGACGATAAACCGCAATTAGTTTAATAATAGAATGATGGGATATAGAGAAATTCCATTCGGAATATTCAAAGGATTGGATATCCCCACCACGAGAAAGGGAGACATTTAAACTAGAGTTGAACATTATACCTGTGCCTCCTTCTGATCTGTTGGATTGACGAGGGAATGATTTAAATGAATAACCTGATTGACAAATGCATGCAAAACTATGAATCAAATTCTATAATCACTAACTTTTTAAAAGCTATCAGCACCAAAAAAGATTCTTACTTTGGTTGAATTAAGGTCAGCAAAAATTTGCCGACCTAGGAGGTTGATAGGTCCAGTGGCGGATTATCTAAGGGGTAAAATGGGCATTTGCCCCCAGGTCCCAGATTTCCACCGGCCCAAAAAAAAAACCGAATAAAAAATATTGTTGGTGGATTGACTGCAATAGCTTTTAAACAAGGAAATCTGTAATGAGGAAAACTTCCTTGTCTTATTAATTAAACTGCCCCAATTAATATTTTTATAAGGAATGTAAAACTTGTATTCCAAAACTCCTTCATGAGTATTGATAACCTGTAAGCTAAGATTCTTGAACATTTTGCTGTTTCCTTATGACATTCTGACGAATCAGTGTGTTGGTGTACCCCAGGGCATTTGTCATAATTTCTTTGGCCTCGTGTTTGGTATTGTTGTGCTTTTTCTGCCTGGCCCTGAGGAATTGTACACAATACTACAATGGACTGAGAATGAGTCCACATGGACTGAGAATGAGTCCATACATTTAATATTCTAGAACATTTGGAACACTGTTCTGGAATGATATGAGTGCACACGGTGTTCTGGAACAGTGTTTAGTTTGTTATATAATATATGCGTGCACTCTACGCAGTGTGCATTGGATACACACAATGTGTGGTCTCCATTTCCAATAACATGAAAATGGGCGGTGTCACGTGTTCTGTTCTGGCTGCCCCTACTCGAAAATCGGGTAGTCAGAACAGTCAGTAAATCGAGCAGCTTGCTGGGGTTGCAATCTAAATATAAGAGCCATTTCACTTCCGCCTTTGTAGTGTACATGTTGTGTTGTACTGTAAGTTGTGTATTGCTAGTAGCGGCAGTTCCCGAATTATGGACAAAGACGACTATAATATTTAAATTTCGTTACTTTTACGTGATTATCATGCAGTAAATCTAATGAAAAATGCATCCTTTGTAACAAGATGTGTCATATTAAGCTGTCAGTGTTACATTAAATAGATCTTAAATCTTAGTTAATAAATTATCGTAAAAACAAAGAAAACTCAATTTTATTGCCGTATTTGCTCATAATTTGGTAACAGCTGCAGTAACACAGAACAATATACAGAAAACGAGAACAGACTACAGAAGCAGAAGTTGGAAGGTTTCCCTTCAAACCCTTCCTATGTCAGCCAGCATTGTTGGATGGTGTCGCCTGCCAGATGAACATTTTGAATAAAGTCAAACATTATCCAACGTCTTCCAATATCTGCCAACATTAACAAACGTTGTATTCAAACTGACCCAACAATGTTCCATTCAATGATGATGTTGGTTCAACAATGTGAAAATAGCCATCTTACAAGTCAAATCAAAGCATAATTTATCCTGGATTCCTATCTCCGAGATAATCTGTCTAAGAGAGGCAGTGATGACTTACAAGTGTATCAATAATCTTGTTCCGGAATATCTATCCTCAAATCTTGACTCTTGTAAGATTAAGAATAAAGCTTATAATACAAAAAGCAAGGACGAATTGAAACCGCCTAAATGTCGTATAAAAAACACTGTTCAAACGCTCTTGGAATACGCTTGAAGAACAGGAGAGACAGTTAAAATCTTTACCCCAATTTAAGAAAGCAGTGAAGAAACGTCTTCATGAAAAGTTTTCAAACATTTCAACTTTGAAAGGAACTTATTTTTAGATTTTAGGATGTACATGGTTGTTGATGTACTTTTAACATTTTAATATTTGTAATAACTTATAATAGGTATTTGCTTTTTATATTGTAAATTTCAAGACGTAATATTGTAATTTAAACCTGAAAAGCCCTATGGGGAGGTTGAACAAATCTACTACTATACTACTACTAGCTATCCTGCTCTAATCTGTAACCCCATGCAGTTTACGTTTTCTGCCACCTTACAGCTTTAATTTGGGAAATAAAAGAAAACAGCCATAAACAGTTGAATTATTTCATACGAAATCAGAATAACTGCACTGATTTATTTCCTTAATTATCGCAGTTTTTTATAATTATACGGTGAGGTGGCCTTGAGACCGATTTGTTTTCAATTTTGTATCTTGTATTTTCATTTCAGCATTTACGAAATGTCGTGATTGAAGAAAATCCAGGTCTCACAGAGATTCCTGCCCGAATATTTGCTCAGATTTCTTTTTATGAAACATTGATTGTTTCATTTCATTGTATCACGCAGATTCCGCAAGAGCTTCCACTACAATTACCTCACTTAGTTCATCTTAATTTAAACTTTAATAAAATCACCAGCTTGCCCGAATCATTTGGTATGTTAATTCACCTTGAAGTACTTGAACTGTCTCACAATGTGTTGTCAAAGTTACCAAGCTCATTCTCACTATTAAAGTCGCTTCAAAAGCTCGATCTTTCTAACAATAAACTAAGAACATTTCGTGACGATATAGAAAAGCTTCAAATGTTGAAGAAACTTAATCTAAATAATAATCTGCTGGAACGAATACCACTTTCACTTTGCTTGATCGATAGTTTAGAGGTTGTTGTGTGTTTGAACAACCGTTTAATAACACCTCCTCAAGACGTTTGCAATGAAGGCCTTGTTGGCATTAGACAATATTTTGAAAAGGAAAACGCATTACATTCACCACCGCGAGAAGATATTGTTAATATATTTCCACGTATACGAAAAAGCGATGCATTTACTCATCCAAACTTGAACACAGCTATGACACAATACAACGAAATGCAGTCGCAAAGTTTTAATATGAAAATGAAAGTGAAGACACCGCTTCTTCCTCCATCACTGGCGACAGCTTTTCCACCAGATGAATTAGCCAACAAAATTATTGGGTGTATTTATGGTGCAGCTATTGGGAGTGCTCTTGGCGTCTCGACTGATTTCTTAAGCAAAAATGAATGTGCATTTTATTATGATAAAGAACAACTAAGTTATAGTGACATCATAAATGATGTTCACAGAAGCAGTTTGAAGAAAGGATGTTGGGCACATTCATTTGATCAAATGGTGAGTATATTTATTATACGTAGGCGAAGTATACTAAGAGAAGTTTGAATAGTTGATAGTACTTTGAGGTGATAGAATGTGTGGTTGGTGAGAAGGTTCTGATTATCATTTTCACATTAATTTGTTAAAGCTTTGACATTGTATCTGCAACTTAGAGTGCCCAGGGCGAATCCCATTTTGTTAATACATGTGCGATACACGCGCGTATAAAGAAAAATTATGTGAAATCAGTGACTTCATGCGCTTCAGAATTCAATCTTCGCCCCCGCCCTTATTGCAAGAAAGGAGGCATGCAAGATCGGAAACTCGAATTCTTGTTTTTCTTTACCTTATTCAGAAAGCTTTACAAAAAATTCTTTGGAGACATTACTCTCTCAACACACCACATGCAGACGCTTTAAAAAACAATTATTAACAATATTTAACAAATATAAAACATTTTCCGTGTTGATATAGAGTTATGTCAACACGAGTAGGAATTGGGAAAACGAGAAATTGTGTGGTCGCGCGGAGTGTTTTCACACAATTTTGAGTTTTCCCAATTTCCACGAGTGTCTAAAGAATGTCTAAAAATTTTAAAAAGGCTAGAAACATATTTCGCTGTGTCGCAGCCTCATATCATCATTATACTTGTTACATAATTCAATATGGCGTTTATGCATGACGAGGCTGTACATGTGACACAAGGAAATATATTTCTAGCCTGTTTAAAATTTTAGTCTTTAAGTTTTATATATTTATATGTTGTTAATAATTGTTTTTTAAAGCATCTATATGGTGTGTTGAGAGAGGAATAGACGATGAGTAGTGTTAAAGAGCCGACACAGACGCAATACTTCATGTAATACAAAATATAGTGTCTCCGCTTCAGACGCAAACTTCATATTATACAAAATATAGTGTCTCCGCTTCAGACGCAATACATTCGTGTAATACAAAATATAGTGTTTCCGATTCAGACGCAATATTTTATACGGTGTTTTCGTCCCCTTCGGCTTTTCCTCCCGAGTCCGGTCTCCGAGGTTTTTTCGGGACTTTTTTCCAAAGATTTTATCCGATATTTTTCCCAAGTCTTTTCCAAGACTTCCCCAAGATTTTCCCAAGTTTTTTCCGAGTTTTTCCAAAGTTTTTTTCCGAGTTTTTTCCCAGGTTTTTTCCCAAGTTTTTTCCAAAGTTTTTTCCCAAGTTTTTTACAAAGTTTTTTCCGAAGTTTTTTCCCGTTTTTTTTCCCCAAGTTTTTTCCAGGTCTTTTCCCGAGTCGTTCCCTTTTCGGTTCGTGTCCTCAAGTTTTTTTCAAAAATATTTTAAAAAAACCCGCGTAAAATCGAAACCCTGTAACACCTTATACGAATAAAAAACCCGGTATATAAAAGAATGGGTCGTAAAAGCGGTAGGACGGGTCAGAAAAAAAGGACGGGTCACAAAAAGTCGGGTAGTAGGAAACAGGGGGGACGTAACGAAAGAAGTTGGGAAAAGGAGACGAGGACCGCGAGGCGTGAAAGACATGGTACTTTACCGGTACACCACGACAGGGAGATGGTATGGAAAATTAGTAATGAGAAAAGATGGGAAAAATATATTGCAGACGAAGAAAAAAGACGTCGTGAGGATGTACCCGGTTGGGAAGCCGGCGAACGGGCATGGGAAGAAAGAAGAGCAAAAAGACATCGTAAGAATGCAAGGAAACGTCAGAGGAAAAAAGAAGTCCGTCGTCGTCAATTGATGACTGGTGAGATTGAGATTCCCGACGAGGATTTTACACCGGTTTTACAACAGCATGCATTTCGAAGACGTGCACAGGTGTACACGATCACACCGAACGGGGTATACGATCCGCCTTATTTTTTAGATGCGACCGGTCGTCACGTTTGCGATCTCGTAGATTCGATCGACGGATCGAAAAAAGTACGTGTGGTTTTAATTTGTATTATGAAAAAAGTGGATGCGAATACCGGAGATATTCTAGAGATAGACAGGTCTGGTTTTTCGACAAAAACTTATGCAATTACGGGACGAAGTTTAAGAGATGGAATTTGGGATGAGATGCGCGAAAAGATTCTGGAATCTTTTGCAGAATACCAGAAAAACGGTAGTAATTGGATGCTGGATAAGATAGTTCGGTTAGAAATTCACATCGACGAATACGATCCGACTCGCGGTTCTGGATTTGTTAAAATGCCAGAAGGATATACGAAAAATAAGGGAATCATCAACATGAAGAACGATGACGACCAATGTTTCAAATGGGCAGTGACGCGTGCATTGAATCCTGTGAAAAAGGATCCTGCTCGCATTACGAAAATTCTTCGTCTTCAAACGGAGAAATTAAATTGGAACGGTATAAATTTTCCGACCGGGAAAAAAGATGTTATAAAGTTTGAAAGACAGAATCCTAATGTTCACATCAATGTTTTTGCATTCGACGAAGATTTAAAAATTTATCCGTGGTATATTTCGGGAAGTCTGGATTCGATCAACTTGGTATTATGGAACGAACATTTTGGTGTCGTCACGGATTTGTCAAGATTTTTAGGAAAGCAGTTGAGTAATCATCAGCACAAAAAACATATCTGTAACAGTTGTTTGAATCCTTTCGGATCTGAAAAATTACTGGAAAAACACCGAGAGTTGTGTCTGGATCACGAAGCGCAGACATGTATATATCCGAATAAGGATAAGGAAGGAAAAGATAGTATTTTAAAATTTAAAAATTATAACCGGATTCACGACGTTCCGTTTGTAGTATATGCGGATACGGAATCTTTCCTGGAACCTCTTTCTTACGACACGAAAGAAAGTCTGGATTGTTCCAGTACGAAAAGAACACAGGAACATAAAGCGTGTAGTTTTGCATATCTGATCAAATGTTTCGACGACGAGATTTATCCGCCGAAATACGTAAGTTACACGCAGCAACACGAAGACGAAGACGTGATGACAAGATTCTACGAGTTGTTGGAAAAGGATACGAAAGAAATTTACGAAAGATTTAAATTTCCCGTTCCGATTAAAATGAAACCGGATGATGACGAAGATTTCGAAACATCCAAGTCGTGTTACGCATGCAACGGAAGGTTTACGAAAGACAATTACAAGACAAGAGATCATTGTCATTGCACGGGTACGTATCGCGGCGCGGCATGTAACCGATGTAATTTAACGATGAAGAATCCAAGATTCACACCGGTCTTTTTTCACAATCTGGCGGGTTACGATGCGCATCACGTCGTCAAATGTTTTGGAGGAAGCGAAGGCGATGTCAACTGTATCGCACAGACATCGGAAAAGTATAATTCATTTACGAAAAAAGTAGCGGTCGATACATTTACGGATAATGAAGGTGAGACGAAAACTAAATTCCACGACTTGCGGTTTTTAGATTCGTACAAATTCTTATCGTCTTCGTTAGGAACTCTTGCGGAAGATTTGGAAGGGAACGACTTTAAATTAACGGATGAAATGATGGAAAATTATGCGTCGGATCAACGTCGAATGTTAAAACGGAAAGGTGTTTATCCGTACGAATGGATGGATGATTTCGTGAAATTTTCCGAACCGTCTCTTCCACCGCAAGAAGAATTTTACAGTAGTTTGACCGACGAAGGTATTACGGACGAAGATTACGAACATGCGAAAAAAGTCTGGAAGTCGTTCGATATGAAATCCATGCGTGAATATCACGATCTTTATTTGAAAGTAGACGTGTTATTACTGGCAGACATCATGGAAAGATTTCGTGAGATTTGTATGGAGAATTACGAATTGGATCCTGCATGGTATTATACGTCACCGGGATTGGCATGGGATGCGTGTCTGAAAATGACACGTATCCGTTTGGATTTAATTTCCGATCCGACCATGTTTAATTTTATCGAAAAGGCAAAGATACGCCTCCGCCAATAACAAGTACGTAAAAAAATTTGATCTGGAAAAAGAAAGTACATTTTTACCTTACTGGGATGCAAACAATCTGTACGGTTGGGCCATGTGCGAAAAACTTCCGTACGGGAATTTTGAATGGATGAAATTAGATCAGTTGAAAAACTGGGACAGTCTTCCGGATGGAAAAGGTTGTTACGTCGAAGTAGATTTAAAATATCCGGAAGAATTACACGATCTGCACAACGACTATCCGCTGGCTCCGGAACGTCTTCAAATAGGAAAGGTCAATAAACTCGTTCCGAATTTAAACGATAAGAAAAAGTATGTCGTTCATCATACGACGTTAAAAAAATATGTGGAATTAGGATTGATCGTGACAAAAATTCATCGCGGCCTGATGTTTTCGGAAAGGGCATGGATGTCAGAATATATTCAGTTGAATACCGGTCTGCGTAAAAAATTTCGAAAGTAATTTTTTCAAACTGATGAACAATTCGGTGTTTGGAAAGACGATGGAAAATGTTCGCGATCGTATCAACGTGAAGCTCGTTAACAATGAAAAGAAGTGGAATAAATTAGTGAAAAAAAGTTATTACGTCTCAACAGACATATATACCGAGCATCTGGCGTTGGTTCACATGCGAAGGACGACCGTTCGTTTGGATAAACCTATTTATGTAGGTGTCGCCATTTTAGATATCAGCAAGACGTTGATGTACGACTTTCACTACAATTACGTGAAGAAAAAATATGGAGAAAAAGCAGAACTTCTTTTCACGGATACGGATTCGCTTCATTACGAGATAGCGACCGACGATCTTTTCAAAGACATTACATCAGACGTTCGTCAGAAATTTGATACGAGTAATTTTCCAGAATCTCATCCGTCTGGAATTCCGTGTGGAATGAATAAAAAAGTCATCGGTATGATGAAATTCGAAACGGGTGCAGGTCAGATTAAAGAATTTATAGGATTACGTCCAAAATCATATTCGACACTCAACGACGATGGAAAAGTGATAAAAAAATGTAAGGGAGTTAAAAAATGTGTTGTGAAAAAAGATATGTCGCATCAACATTATAAAGATGTTCTATTCGGTGAAATAGAAAGACGTGTAGGCATGACGACACTTCGTAGTCATTATCATAACATTTATACCGAACGTTTGGTAAAAACGGCACTTTCGGCCAGAGACGACAAACGGTATATTTTAGACGATAAAATTCATACGCTGGCATTGGGTCATAAAGACATTCCCGAAAAAGAACGTACGTTATCAAAGATCGACTTGGAATATCATGGAACTTGTGAATTTCCTTCCGTCCAGGAACTGGAAGATTTGAGAAAGTCGGAGGAACCGGTGAAAGAAGAAGTACCTATCGAAAAGAAAAGAGAACTTCAGGTTTTCAGTATTCCTGCAACGACGGAAGGAATAGTGAATTTTGCACGCGAGAGAGTCACACAAAAAGCATCGGAAGGAAACTGTAGTATATCCTAGTGTTTTCTGTAAAACCTTACAAGTCAATCTTGGTAACAACTTTCAGCAAAATTCAAGACTTATCTGTAAAACCTTACAAGTAAGTCTCGGTAACACCTTTCAACAAAATTTAAGACCGACTTGAAAGATCTTACAAGTCAATCTCGGTAACAACTTTCAACAAAATTCAAGACCGTTCTCAGATTCCTTACAAGTAAGTCTTGGTAAGAACTTTAAACAAAATCAAAGATTGACTTGAAAGATCTTACAAGTAAAATTCTAGTAAATTTCAAGTAGTTTCTTTCAAAAAAAAATTTATTTTTTTTTTCATACAAATAAAGAAAATGACAGGACCAACAGATAATCCGGAACAGGTAGGACCAGACCCCAGAATCACCATCGGACCTTTGGAAAGGGCCGCGTACTTACGCCTGGCCGATGTTGAACACGAGAAAGGGGTATGGACGGGTATAATCTTGGGAGCATTGTTTATTACTTGTTTGGATGTAGTAGTAAATGTCGGGTTAAGACTAGTATACCCGACATTTGCAAGAAACCATTGTGCGGAAAAGGAAGAGGAAAGAGAAAGAGAAAGAGAAAGAGGAAAAAGGTTCTCCAGGACCGGCTTTTAATTTCGTACAGATCAATCTTGGTCACAATTCCGACAAGACTAAAGACTGATTTCAAGTAAATTATAAAAAGTATTTTCATACAATAAAGAAAATGACCGAAGTAAATCCAGAATCTGTGACCAGCCCCACAGATCCATCGAAAAAAGTCAAGGATCCACGTCGTGTCGAAGCTGGAAAAAGATTGGCAAAAATTAGTCAACAGGCCAAGGCTGCGAAAAAAGCAAGGGCCGAAGAAAATTTAAAAGCGGAAGTTCGCGGGGAATGTACGACGGATGAAGGATGGATTTCCGTCGAGAAATTATGTTTGGTTCTCGGTGTAGGAATCGGGTTGGGATCGTTGTATCTCACGTGGAAAAGTCGTTGTGACGAGAAAAGTCCTGTGAAACAGGATGAAATTATCTACGAGAATAACAACGATGCGGAAAAAGATCCACCGAAAGAACCGTTCGACGACTTGTTTGATTGAAATGGGAAAATACAGAATGTCTGGATTCCAGACATTTTAAACTGTTCCTACGACGAATCACCGTAGGAACAAATGCTTGAAGCTTGTTTGATAGTCCGGATTCATTCCGTCGTGATTCACGACGGAATGAAGGATCTGGACTAGGGAAGTTTATGAATTTACAACGTCTTATAAGAAACTTTATACGATAATAAAAGATGAGTATAGAGTTATTTACCATTCCGGAATTACTAGGAAAAGGAAAGATTACCACCGTTAGGTCTGTTGATGGAACAATTTATTTTATCGCCAGGGAGATAGCATCAGCGCTTGGTTACATCAACCTAAGTGATGCGATCATCAAACACACAGATACAAGATCGAGGGTCACGCTCGGTGAAATCCAGACTATCGCGTTTCGCGATAGTCTAGACCCTCTGGTATGTATGCGTACGGATACAGTATTTATAACCGAATCCGGTGTTTACGATCTTGTATTTGGTTCTAGATTACTCGCTGCAAGGGAATTTAGGTGGTGGGTCGTAAATGACGTTCTTCCATCCATCCGGAAAACAGGGAAATATATGTTACCGGGGGTGTTGCCAGCTATCGACAACGTTAAGGACGAAGGATTACGTCAACTTTCCGGGGAAGAACGGAAAGAAGGACGTGGGAAACTAAGGTATAAAAGTAATATCGTCAAAGATCCGAAAGCAGTTTCGCGTGGAAGAAAAGGCGGACTAGTCGCCCAGGAAAATACCAGACAGACTAAGGTGATATCACGCGAAAGGGGAGCTAGGATCCTCGAACTCGAAAAAGAACGGGATGATCTTGAAGAGGAACTGGATGTCCTCACAGACGAACGGGGTGATCTCATAGAAGAACGAGATAATATCACAGAAGAACGGAACGGTCTCGAAGAAGAATGGAACGAAGCTAGGCAGAGGGTACACGATCTCGAAGTGGAAATGGATGAAAAGGATGAAAGAATTCGTGAACTCGAAGATGAGAACGATGAACTTCGAACCAGTGATAGGTGTTAATAAATTTTTTTATTTCTTTCCACAAGAAATAAAAGAGAGAATGTCCGATACCAAAAAAGAATTCGTTCAGGATCTGTACGACGCTGCACTTTTAACGTCTGGAGTCGTTGGAATTTCGTATGCGGCGAAAACAATTGCGGGAAAAAGTCTGGGCGCACCGATGACGTTAGAAGGCGCGATGAAACTCGGTGTGGCCGTGGCGGGAAGTTCCGTGGCCATCGCGTATCTCAAAGACAAAGGTTACGTTCCAAAAACAATCGGTCAATAAATGACAACCAATCTAGTAGTCGGTGGATTATTCAATGCGGTCGCTTTTGCAGGCGCGGGATTCTTATTTTCCCATTTGAATCAAAACGGATACAAAGAAGTCAAAAGACATAATCATGCGCTGGAAGAATTAGCGGCGGCGAAAGAAAAATTTTACGAATCCGAAGTGAAAAGATGGAACGATGAAATACGACGACGGCAGGAAATTTTAGATGCGAATCACGATATCGAAGAGACGAATAAAGCATTGGATGCATTACGAACTTATAATCAACGACAAGATTTAAATGCAATAGATCGTAAACCTAAATTCGGGGATTATTATCAACCGTCGGACGAAATGCAAAAATATTTAACGATGACGGTTGGGATTTTAGGGGTGGGAAGCGGTTACGTACTGACGCGAATTTTTTAAGATGAGAAAAGTCTTAAAAAAATTTTCTAGGTCACCAGGAAACATCTTAGATTCGTTGATCTACTTCGTACGGTTGCTTTTCCATCCGTACCGATATTTCTAAACTTTAATCCATAGACCGTGATTTTCTGTCCAACGTAAAAAAATGTAAACGTCGTACGAACGATACCACTGGTCTGTGTTTCGCTAAATACGGTAACGTTTCCAGTCTGTCCATCGCGAAATCCGTACGCGGGAGATTGTGTTTCCTGGTTGATCAGCGAACCACCGACCCTGAAAATAATAAACTTTGCATCGTTCCGGTTGGTTTCGGAAATGACTGCACTTTCGAGAAATCCAGGCGGTAGTCCGACCTTTTGGACGAGATCGATCTGAACGGGTGGATTTCTTCCAACTTCGTTCAGATCGATCAATTCGGTCTTATTTTTCTGAATCTCGGCCGTATTATCTTGTTGTTTCATTTCGATCTCCGTTACTTTTTTCTTCAAATCTTCGTCAAAGTAGTCGTATCCCATCAATATACTCATTTATTTAAATAAAAAGTAAGCAACTCCCATCGATGCAACGGCTAAAATTTTGAAAGTGGATGGATTTTGTAAATTTCTCGTAGGACTTGTTGAAGTTTTCATAGGACTTGTTGAAGTTTTCATAGGACTTGTTGAAGTTTTCATAGGACTTGTTGAAGTTTTCACAGGACTTGTTACTGAATTATTCACAGGACTTGTTACCGAATTTTTCACGGGACTTGTTACTGAATTTTTCACGGGACTTGTTGGAGTTTTCACGGGAGTCTTTGTAAAATTCACCTCGTCATTTTTTCCAAACGTCATGCCACTTCTGGCCAACGTTAAAATATTGTTGTAACCTTTCAATGGTTTTTGTAAAATCCGCATGTCGGACGGAATGAGAATCAGACCTGGCATAATGGCAAAATTTAACACGACGTTCGTATCCGCGATCGCCGTACGCATGTTTCGAATGATCGTCGTGATATCGTTCTGAACGATACTGTCTTTTAAAGCTTTTCGAAATACGTCTTGGGTCTGTAAACTTTTTGCGCCTTGTCCCGTAATACTCCAACGGGTTTTGGCTTGTGCTCCGAGAACCGCGTAAACGTAAACTTCCAGACTCTGTTGAAATAATCGTTGTCCAGTCTTCGTTAATCCACGCGATGTTTTTGGAATGAATGTTTTATAATCTTCCGTGACATTTTTCGGAAGTCTTTTCGTTAAATAGTCGTACGCGATGTAGGTTCCGCCGTATCGCGTACGAACGTAATGATGATTTCGAATTTTACGACGCGTATCGGCGGGTAAATCGTAATACCACGTTCCAAGATTGGCATGCGTCGATGCGGTTCGTCGTTCCCACGTTTCGGTCGTCGGCATGTATTTTTTCAAAACGTAAAGATCGTCTTCGTTTAAATAATGATCCATTAATCTTGAATCTTTCATAAATTTTTCCATCTGATAATGAACGTGAAATTTCACGATGAAGGTGATCAGATTGGAATCGGACAAAGTATTATTCAAATGGTTTTCCGAAATCCCGGATTTAAATGTTGTGATGTAACAGGCTGCTAACGATCTGAAATAAGAATTTTGATGATAGTCGAACGGAATTAAATTTACAAAATTTCCCGTTCCCGTGTACTCGGGTGTCGTATATTCTAAGTCCACGGGAAAAGAATCTGCTTCCGAGACGTAGATTTTAAACATGTGAAAATTTACGGCAAAGTCTAAATTCGGACGAAATATCATATCGGATTTAACATTTCGCCATCCGTCTTTCCAATATAAATATTTGGTCCATTCTGGATTTCCTAAAAATGTTTCGGACGTAATATCGTAACTGATGAATTCATCCACCTTGTAAGAAATTTCGGTCGAACTTAACGTTCCATCTTTTACAAACGTCACGTTAAATTCAAACTTGGATAATATGGCATTCGGATATTTTTGAAGAAAATTAATCTTGAGTTTCTGAATTTCTAACGGATAAGCTTTTCGAACCCTTTCGTAATTTTTTCCGTAATAGTCACGGAAAACTTGTTCTTCCCCTTCCATCTTTTATTTCCTAGATGATATACAAATCCATCAAAGCATTGCACGGTGTAATTCCATCGACGTTGGATTTCACGTCGAAATGAAGTTCGTGGTAAATCCCCGCATCGGCTTGCACCTGGCTTTCGATGTCGTTGTATTTCATCGTCGTTCCGAATAAAGGTTTCGTTCCGTCGATGGGAAGGGACGATATGATACTACTCGGATAGCCGTCGGGATTTATATTTTGGGATCGGTTCGCTAAATTACAACCGATCGTGACGTAACGTAATCCTTCGTGTATATCCACGGGATGCTGACCCGGATGTAATTCCGAAAATGTCGTATATCCCAACAGATGATTTAATTTCCACGGATTAAAAGACTTGACACTTTTTCCGAATTTTATTTGAATTCGTCCGTCTGGAAAATCTTCGACGACGAGACCGTGACTTTCTAATTTCTGACGCAATTGTTTAAACGTCCAGTATCCATTTTCCAACATGACTTTTTTCTTGTCAACGGAAAAATAATTATTGTAGTTTTTACGAATATTCTCGTACGTCCAGAATAAAGCAACTGTTTTTACATAGAGTCTAGATGTCGGTGTTAGAATCAACGGACTCTGTAATTTCATCGTAGTTTCACCGTCCCGAATAAAAACTGTAATCTTTTTCATTTATTATAAACTATGGATACATTGGATCTTGGTTTACGCGAACTGTATTTTAACGTCAACGGTGGATACATGTCGATGGAAAAACTTTATCGGGATGCAGTGAAAGAAAATATTCCCGGTGTCACGCGTGAAAAAGTGAAAAAATGGTTGCAAACGCAAAATACGTACGTCGTTCACAAACCGACACGAGTTCATTTTAAAACGCAACGAACGTATGTCGACGGACTTGCCCAACAATTACAATTGGATCTGGTAGATATGCAAACCTACAGTCGTGCGAATAAAGGTTACAAATGGATTTTAACCTCCATCGAAATTTTAAGTCGGTATGCATTTGCCGTGCCCGCCTATCGAAAAGGAACGGAACATATGGTTCCGGCCGTCGAAAAAATCTTGGAACAATTTCACGAAAGATTCGGACGCTATCCAAAAGTCGTTCAATTTGACGAAGGGAAAGAATTTTATAATAATGGAGTTAAAGGTTTATTGGAAAAACACGACATCCGTTATTTTTCGACGCGACTGACTGGGAAAAAAGCAGCCGTCGTCGAAAGATTCAACAGGACGTTAAAAACAAGAATGTGGAAATATTTTACCGAGAAGCAATTTACGACCAAATCTAAAAAATGGATCGACGTCCTGGATAATTTTGTTGCATCGTACAATCATTCCAAACATCGTACGATCGATATGAAACCTGCCGACGTGAACGAAACCAACAAAGATAAAGTCTGGATGAAACTTTACGGTTATCCGTTATCTCATTTTCCAGAACCAAAATTTAAAGTTGGAGATCGTGTCCGTGATCAGATCTATCGCGAGACTTTTGTGAAAGGATACACGTCGAATTATACCGACGATGTTTACGTTGTGTCGGAAGTGTTTCGCGGTGATCCGACCATGTATAAACTTATCGATCCCGACGATGACGATCGTGAAATTCAAGGAAGATTTTACGAGCACGAATTATCGTTGGATTTAAGTAAGAAATAAACTATGGCAGAAGCTATCGAACTGGATGAGATCGGACAGGATTACGACTGGGATACGTGGGAAGAGGATGGGAACGATGAGACAAATTTGGACGATGACCTGTACGATACAGCACTGGATGATTTGGATCGACAGGACGATGAAGTATGGTTAATGGATTTTAAAAGACAGAATGAAAATGATAAGGCAACAAAAAGAAGGAGGGAGACGAGTTTTCTG